GTGTCATTTCTCTGCTCTTAGGCTGCTCAGTAACCATGAATTATCAAAGCCCAGAGATGGAGCCTCTGATCAGGAGAGGCACAGAGAGTTAGTCTTAGCTAGAGTCCGAGCCCTGATCCATTTCCAGACCGAGAATGAGGTACGTTAACTCAAAGTGTGCCATGCTTAAAAATAAGATTATAAGTACATGTGCTCTAAGATCTGGTGGTTGTGCAGGCAAACCTGCATTTAAATTTTAAATACAACTGTAAAAAATAAAATAAAATAAAATATATTTTTCTGTCATAGCTGCATCAGCATGTGCTGTACCTCGTGGATAGTCTGTGGGACAGTGCAGGGGCTCTGCTGAAGGATTGGACCGGTCTTACCTCACTGCTCTTACCTCACACGTCCTGTCAGGAACAAGGCTAGTACTTTAGTACACACTACAGTATACACTCCAGTATGCTTCTTTATTGTAATGCTGCATTATCAGTAGCTTTTATTACACCGAAGCAGAGATTTCCATCTTTTAACAAATATTTACAAGTGTATATAATAAGTTGAATATTCAAATAACGTCTGTAGTTTTGACTAATGTTTTAATGATTACTAAAAATAGAAATAAAAAGGACTGATTTCTATCCAGCATTATCTCCTCTATTTGAAACTCCACTGTGAGAGAGCAAACTGACATCTTATTTGTGCTGTGCAACATGCTTTAACTACAGCTCTGAGCATAGCTGAGGAGGCCTTTGTGATTGAGCTCATATTGGCATCAGTGAGGCAGGCTGCAGAGGGCCCTCCTTTGTCAGGGAGAGGAGCAGGTAAAAAGGTAAGACTTCCTGTTGCATTTTTCATTAGATGGTGCTCTGATCTAACAGGGCTGTCAGATATATTTCACTTTTTTATGTTTATACTCCAGCTGTTCACTTTCTTACAGACACATCCAGCACATTGTGGAACTGTTACTTGTTGCTAGTTACATATCTATGTTTATTTAGGTGGTAAATTCTAAAGAGAAAAAGTTACAAATTGATGACTGCACAAAACTCACTGAACAGTTAATTAAAGTGCTGCCTGAGCTGTTATCCAAGGTAAAAGAAAAAACACTGCACTGTTCATTTTTACCATAACTGCTTCTTCATAAATGAACTTGATGTCTAATCTCATCCTCTAGTACTCAGAGGATGCTGAAAAACTCACCTCCCTTCTAAAAATACCTCAGTATTTCCAAAC